AGTATATTCAAAAAAGAAAAATTAGAATATTTTTCAAAACTATTAGAATATTAAGTATATTCTAATAAGAAAAATTACAATAATATAAAAAAAAACTTAAGAAAATAATTTAGTAATAAAAATTAAAATATTAGAATTATAAAAATGTCAACATTACCTCAAATCACCTTCACTTGTGTTAAAATTCCATTCAGAATCGATGTCAACTTTTTCTTTTTTCTCAACTACTACCTTCTTCTTTGATAGATTTGTCCTTTTATGTTTGACAATGCATATGTCGGAAACAACACCTGAAGTAACACTCTTCTGTGAACAAGAAACAAGTGAATGAAGAATCTCCCTCTGCACCATGAGAAAAATAGTCCTGGTGTATACCATAGATGCATGTTTCTCCATATCTTCAAGAGGTGTTTTGATAATTGGAATTATAGTAGATGTATCAAAATCAAATTTGATCTGATTATTCCTTTGCCTTTCCATAACAGACTCAAAAGCATTCATGAAATTGTTTAACGTATAACCATGATGCGATACCCTATTGAATGCTGAATTCTCACTTTCCGACCGAGAAGTTGTTCTCATTAGACCTGACATCGGTACATCTTTAAAATAGGCTGGAATCCAACTGCTTCTCAAATCAAACATATCTTTCATCCATTTATTGTCTTGTAACTTATATTTTACCATTAATGCATCCCATCTCATTTCAAAATCATTCACAACAATTTTGGAGTCCCATACTATACTATTGAAGTCCGCCTTAAAATCTGATTCATTCATTGTTTCCCAGCTTACCTTAAAAAACAATTCATATATTATTCTGTTAGAATATAATATAGTATAAAAAGGCATTTCATTTAATATATTATCCTAATTACAAAAAATATTTCATTTAATATTCTGATAAGAATATAATACAGTATAAAAAGGCATTTCATTTAATATATTATTCTAATTACAAAAAATATGCCATTTAATATTCTGATAAGAAAAGAACAATAATGTCATATTTATATTGAAAATAATGTCATATTTATACTGATAAGAATATAACAATAATGTTAGTACCTTCAATGGAAGTTTACTTGTGATATGCCACATACAAAATCTATGTTTTGTGTATGGCAATACTATCTCAATAGCTTTTTTCATTGCTGGATCTTGATCGGTCACGACCATGATTGGTGCTTTTCCAAAACACTTCAAGAATGACCGAAGTAACCAAATATAGGAATTTGTATCTTCTCTACACAACAAACCAGCTCCAAAAGTGACGCACCTTTTGTGATTATCAATGCCAGTAAAAGGTACAAATACCATACAATACCTAAAAAAACACAAAAAAATACCATTAGAATATATAACTAAAAATGTTTATAATTCCAGAATAAATACCTGTTTGTACGATATGTTGCGTCAAACGAAACAACGTCCCCAAATAACTCAAAATTTTGTTTTGAAGTGTCATCAGCCCAAAAGAGAGCATTTAACTGCTTCTTGTCACATCTGTATTCGAATGTAAAATTTGTAACATTCTCTTTACGATTCTGAAGCTTTGTAATCAACAAATTTGCATCAGTGCCCCCGATGTGACAATTTATATCCCTTGTAAAAATTTTCCAATCTATCTCTAGTCCACCAACAAATTCACATCCTCCTTTTATAACGCACATTAGCCTATATGCTGTAGTTGCCCCCACCTTTGCACTCGAAAGCTTATGTATAAAAGCTTGATCAACAACATCCAACTGACGTTTAGCTCTTGAAAGATGCATACAATCTTGATTGATCAATTTGTGGTTGTGCTGTTGTTCAAAGCGCCACAAGTAAACTTCTGAAGAATGTGGTATAACTTTGAATGCAACAAAAGCTTTGCAATTTGTGCGTTTACAATTACTATTTCTCAATTGCTTGTTATGATCATCACTAATCGTGTCTAAGGTAGAAGTGTTTGGCAATCCCCCTCTATTGCATATAAAATATTTCGAAGTTGTGATTCCACTATTTTTCCTCTCTGTTGATTTTCTAATATCAAAACCAGATCTTAATGCATATCCTTTATACCACTTAATAGCATCTTTGATATCTTTAAAAATTGAACCCATAGGAGGTAGCCAACTAGCTTCAACCTCTGGAATCCAAAAGAAAGAACCATCAGCTCCAATGAATTGTTTGCAAGAGCCATATTGTGCTGCAACATTGTCACTTTGAACTACAAAAAAGAATATACCACCATGTTAACATATAATCAGAATAATTTGCATTCATATGACTGTAATCATAAAAAACCACAATGTTATATGTGCATTATTCTATATGCATAATATGCAGTAACATGAACTTATCACCAACATCATTCTATAAAGAATAACCGATATCAGTAACAGAATTACCTTGGATTTCCGATTGATTTCCATCATTATGCAGAATCTCTGAATCACCAGAACTGAATTGATGATTTTCTTCATCGTAATGATCATTTCCGATGTCATTCATATCTAAATTATCCATAACTGTGACTAGGTTAAAAATTGAATATGTTATATGCAACTAACAATGAAAGCAATGATTACCTTGGGTTTCCGATTGATTTTCCTCGTTATGAAGAATCTCTGAATCATTAGAACCGAACTGATGATTTTCTTCATCGAGATGATTGTTTTCGATGTCATGCATATCCAAATCATCCATAACTGTTATCATTATTGATATATAAATGTATGTACAATATTCTATAAGAATAACATGCATTCTCATGAACTTATCACTAAGATGATGTTAATGAAAAGCAAATAGATGATGTTAATCAAACGAAAACAGATGACATATTGCTGAAAAACATAATGATTGAATGAAAGTTAAAAATCAAACAATGAAATAGATGATGCATTGTCAAATAACATATTATAGATTAAATTGTTTTCTAGGTCAAACAAATTCAACAACAAATGATGTTTGATTGCTGAATTGGATGTCTCAACAACAGATGATGTTTGATTGCTGAAATCACAAATCATACAAATATAAAATTGGAGAAATCGATAATAGCTTGATGATTCAATTCATGAACTAGGTTAAAAATTGAATACGTTATATGCAAGTAACAGTGAAATTGATGAAAACTCAAACCTTGATCAATTGACGATTTCATGATGTTGAGTAAAATTCACAGATTGAAAGATCGTAAACAATTGTTGAAGATGAAGATTAGCAGAAATCGTTGAACACTTGAACCTCTACCGAAATCGATGATCACAGAGTTAAAATTGATCAAAAACACTCAGATTATCAATTGCAGATGTAGAAGAATCAAGAACATGAACTCGAAAAACACAAAAATCGCGAATTTAAAAGCTATGATTTAGCATCGTTCGATCAATGTCCAAATCAAATCGATTATCGGTTGAAAGAATATAAGATTAGAGATAGAATATCGATCAAATTGAATTGAATAACAAGGAATGTTGTTTCATCGAATAAATTGGTAGAAAACCCTAACAGGTGAGATGATTTCTTGAAGACGTGAAAATTAAGCTAACCTGATCATCTTAAATTTAACCTAGTGACTAATCTACCCCTAATTAACTAATCAGTTAGATTAATTAGTGTTAATCCCTTTTTTTATGAGCCACAAGATCAAATTTGATCAAAGGCTAAGATTTGGTCCCCATGTCTCACAAAATATAGGTGGTCTCAAATGAACCTCTACCTCTATATATATATATATATATATATATATATATATATATATATATATATATATATATATATATATATATATATATATATATATATATATATATATATACACACACACATGAGGACGATTGGTGTAATTTACATTAAAAATTTCTTATTAATAATTAAATCTATTTAGTTATAGAAGTTATTGACTACTTGATTTATATCTTTCTATGTATGTGTAAACAGATAATTGTGTTTAACCGTAGTAACGAATCGGTACGTCACCCCATGCCCGAATAATTTATATAGAGCATGAGATGGAGAATAAACAAACTGATGATATTAAGTAATTGCTAGAATAATGACGTAATGAGTGTTGTGTGGGGATCTAATCTTTGAATTTTTAATACACATAATCTTTCTAGATTGCGTATTAAATAATATTAATACAAATTACATCCATAATTTCCACGTGTGATGTCAGCAATTAGTACACACGTATTTGCATGAAATTCTACCACGGCAATTGTCAATGCTTATATCATATAAATTTTTTGCACCAATAACTATTCTAACTAGATGCCGACCATTAATTAACTTAGAACTCAGATATATTAAAATGAAAATATTAGATAAAAGAGTGTAGCAATAGTTTTTAATATTTATAGTTCATTTTATAGATAGGCAAACTTGTTTGTGAAAATTTGTTAGTGGCCATGTTCAAAGAAATTTAATTACAATCCTGCGAAATTTCCTCAAGATGGTGGAATTTTTGTCTAATCAGTAAGTGGGACGCAATTTCATTTAAATTAACAAATTAATGAGCGACACATTTTAAAGTCTAGACGCTGTTTGGTACTCGTTTTGATTTTACTTTGATGATTTGGTGGTTAAACAATAAAGTTTGAACTTGTTAGTTATCCTAAAATAAATCCTAACTATATCTTGTAATTTCTGGCCAAACTGCAACATTTTATTTAACTAAAACAAAGGATATGGAACTTGTAATTAAACGGGCTTTTGGAAATTGTGTTAATAATCTTATGATAGCAAAATACATAAATCATAAATTGAAACCATATTACCGAATCACAAAGATGTAAAAGAAAGCCACAACTTGATCTATTCGTTGAATCATGTCGTCTTTTTGATGTGAAATTTGGATGACTAACTTGAAGTAATATGTGATAATCTCGGGGATGTTTGGTAAGATCTGAATTTTTAAGATGTCTGAATTTCTAAGAGGGTCTGAATTTTTAACATATTGTTTGGTTGGAACTTCTAAATTATTGTACTGAACTATAAAAATGACAATTTTACCGTCTGTATTTTTTTTGTTGAATTGCTGGATTTAATGTTTATGTTATTAAAATAACCGAACCAACTCTTTCAATAATTAAAAATATATTCTTTGCCGGGGCTGTGGCCTCTTTCCCAATATATATATATATATATATATATATATATATATATTATATATATATATATATATATATATATATATATATATAAACATCAAACAAAATCAAAATTAATCATACAAAATTAAACAAAAATCAAAATTGCTTTGTGCTATAACTAAAGAGGTGAAAGTATGATGCTATAAAATAGAAATCAATAAAAATACATTGTTATTACTTGCATTTAACCCTTAGAAAAAAAAGCTTACAGTAGCTATGAAAACAACCTGAACTATATGAAAAACAACAAGTGGACTTTCAAGCAAAACAAATACATCCATACTCTTTCTCCATCATTACATCAAAGATGCCCTTCAATAGCCCCTCTGTATTTATTTCCAACATTTCAACCTACAGATCCAAATTTAACAAGAAAAACAAATAAGCTCAATGGAAAATTATACAATCATTAATGGAGATATTTTCATTGGTTTCAAAATTGAATTGACCATAAAAAAATTAAAATGATTAGATTACAGTGGATAAAAGAGAGGCATAGACACATAGGTGTTCATATAGATTCCTTTCCTGTTGTATATCTATATAAATTTTCAACTATTTTACAACCAGATATAATAGATAAGTTGATACTACATTCTAACAATTTTTTTTTAAATCAGTTTATTGCATAAATCATCGAATATTTCAAATGAAAACAACATATTGTATCAAACTATCAACTTTTATTTATGTGTCAAATTTAATAAGTAATCAAATGGGATGTTTATTGACATTCAGACAGACATGTATATGAAAACAAAAGGAAGACTTATCAAGATGTACTATTGACTAAAGTTTCATGCTTTGTTAAAATTAAGAAGACTATATATTCTCCTTGTCATGGAGGGTCCAATATCCATGACGGTTAACGTACGTGTGTTCATATGGATTTTTTTCATGTTCATATGGATTATATGAAGTTTCAAGACCGAATATCGATTCCACAAGCAATTTGTAAGATTCCAATCAATTCAACATTGATTTCGAAGTTGATGTCGAGTTTTAGGAAAAGAAAAGAATCGAATATAGGACAAAGCATCTGATTTCAAGCAGAGAATCAGATTCCTGCCACCATCACCAACCATTCCACTGAAAATAATCAAGTTTTAGGGCAAGAAAAAGAACTTGCCAAGAGTTGTGCTGTCAATGAAGGACCTGGAAGGCATTTGCGGCCAGTGGAGCGGGCGGAGGTGAGGTCACTAGTGGAGGCGGTGGTTAGCTGATGGCGGAGGGGCTGACATTCTGACTGCATATCGATGATGCAGTGGTGGAGGGAACATCGTAGGTATATGGGTGTTCTTTGATGGTTGCAAGAAAGAGAGAATAGGGGTGACGACGGTAGGTATAGGAAAAAGTAAGATACTCGATTTTTATTTTTCAAACTTGAATTTCCATCTGATTCAGTCATACATTTTTTTTCCAATTAAGAGGACAAATTAAGTGCTAACCAAACACTCTTAATCTTACAGATTCAGACGTGTCTCTTTTTAAGAGGCATTAAGAGCCAAAAAAACCGAACCTTACTCAAAAAATGTCATTTAGTTTCTATCAACCAATCATTGATGATGTGATCAAGATTATCATAGAAATTATTGTGGTGTTTGTATGTTGAGGATCACCTGCATTTGATCCTCAAATTATTAGAGTCATCATTACACTCTAATAACGTCATACACATGACATTTAATTAAATACATATGACTAACTATATAAGATATCGATCATAAAATGTTCATAATAATAGTTAGTAATTTTATCATTTTAACACTAATGTTAGAATTTATAACCATCTCTTAATGAGGATATTACAATTTTTCAGGCGTGTTGATATTCATTATCATATATTTAGAAGATAACTAAATTGTGACATCCCCAATTTTATGGTAAAAAAAACTTTTTCTATATGCTTATTTTTAACAGAGTATAATTTATAAATGCATAATTTGTTCCATAACAAATATGAGATAAGAGCATTTTCGAAGAAATGTTTTTCATTAATTATTAAAAATTTGGGATATCATAACTGATAAAAGAAACATAAGCATAAACATAGTCATTACAGGCCTTACAACAACATATTGTACTAATGGTCTAAACTTCTTGAATCTCCCAGTGGATTCAAACATCACTATCCATGTATCTTCGCACCGCTACCTGTGATACAAAGAAACTGAGTGGGTCAGGCTGTGGAGCCTGGTGAGTACATTGGATTTTCAATCTTACACCTATTTAATATTTATTTATCTCAAACCTGCAAAACCAACTATTATCATTAACACATAAACACACACACACACACACACACATATATATATATATATAGATATATATAATATATATATATATATATATATATATATATAAATATATATTATATCCATGACACACTCTACCCTATCCCGTCGATCCTCTCGTTTTGATAATATACAATGACCTTACGAGATCTAACCTAAGGGTCAATGTGAACAACAAGTTTATGATACTGCTTCAGGGATTCCCTAGCAACAAATGAGGATCAATAAAGACATCATATAAGGGGAACAGAATAAATCTCATCGCCAAAATGATGTTCAAAAATACCACAAGACAATTAAGTCAAAGGTGGTTATCTTGATAACTGTGCCTATCGCTGACATGGTCCTGACGTATTTGTACTTAAAGTACTACCTCCAGAGTCACCCTAACTAGCAAAAATCTCCTCAGACATGCCTAGTAGTGGTCTATTACTGACGTACCCCTATTTGGAAGTCTTAGGAAGTGCCCTCAATTACTTCGTAAATGAAAACGCTGACACACAAAGCTCATCAAAAGAAAAGGGAGAATACTAGTATAATACTCCAGTATGCGCCCACACCCTGACACGTAATAATGTCAAAAGGACCTTGTAGATGATAGTACTTCTGGCACATTATAACACCTTGGTACGAGTAAGACTCGTACCCCAACACATAATAATACCCTGGCGTAAGTAGAACCCGAGACACAAAGATTCGATAAAGAATTTGTATATAAAAAGTACTTTTGTACGTAGGACATACTCCACCAATCAACAATCTCATTGCACGCATACTCTTAATAAGACGCAACCCAATATCCAACATTAATTGAACTAAGCATCCCTTAGGGTATAACTAAACAATGTTGTAGTAACCATAATCATTCCAAAGTTGCTGCCTATGTAATATATTTACAGTACATGGTAAATCTAACATCTCTTCAACTTAACTCAAACTAAGCATCCTTTGTAAGTATTATCTTATCACTAGGAAAGTATACAATGCTTATAATCAACTTCAAATACCGACTCTGTTTAGGCAACACTTATCCGAACTTAGTATATATATATATATATTTAACATAGTGTATTAGTATTAATACACATTTCTATTTTTAGTAATAATACTTCTATTATTATTATCTATCAATAATATCCTATATACATGTTAATACTTATAGAACCATATTTGGTTCTCATATTGTATATCATCAAATATTCATTTAATTTACATACAAACTTCCAGTAGATATTTAATACTTTAATTAATACTTGTATTAAAATCATGTTCATGAAAGTAAATATGCACTCACTTGACTTCGGTAGAAGATCCTTGGGGAAAGCTAGCTCCTCTACTATATCTCTTCAGCTTATCCCTTCCAATATCCTAAATACGAATATTACTATGCTTCAGTATTCGTTCGTAGTTAAACTATTTCCTGGATTCCTCAACAATACCAATGAATACATCGAGATCTATCAAATAAGGAATAACCAGGTAAGATCATATCGTAAGTAGGGTCCATTTGGAATATAGAGTATACTGTTTGGAAATCCCACTTTAAACACCTCACTAGATCTAGCCTAGACATCACTACTGTAAGTATATCAACTAGTATTATGACATGGGATCACTGATAAATCTTGATTATAGGTTCATAATAACAACAATGAACATAAACATAAGTTACACTTAAAGCATAACAAGTGTAGCTTAACTTAGGGGTCGTTTGATAGTTGTTGACCAGGTTGGAGCTGACTGGGTTAGAACTAACTAGGTTAGAAATTGTGACTGAATCTACATCTGACTGAGACCATTTTGTTTGATTATGCATCTGACTGGCTGTGCTGAATGATTAAAATGACCATTTTACCCTTTTGTTATTTTGCAACACAGCATGATTCTATTTAGTTATTACAATTCCATTTAATACAAGAGCAATTGACAATGCCATTTAATTCAAAAACACAAACCAATCAAGTGTTTTTCTTTGTTCCAAAACTATGAATAACAATCCAATTGACAACATTATTTTACTTCTATCCTTAAACCAATCACCAGCTAACGTCTCAAACTGCTATGCATGATCAATATTGTCTAGAACACCTGAAAGGACAATTTTGTTGATGGCTTCAGTTTTCATGCATGTAGATTAAAGAAGATACAAGTTTTTTGCTTAAAATCCCACATGACAAATTAGTTTAAGGATATGCCATACAACAATATGCAAAGTAATAACAAATAAAAACATCAATAAGTTTGTGATAATGCATATCTCTCACTACTCCAGATTTATGCTTTGTTCTTGACATATAAACTAGAATGCTCAAGTTGCTCCCAAAACAGTGGCCTGTACGAACAACTAAACTCAAGGGTACTTAATGTGATAAAACATCAACACAAGGTTCTCCATGACAACCTAAAGCAATGGAACCAAAATCAATTTTAGAAACCAAAATAAATTTCAAATATATAGCAGAGAAGGATCGGTTTCGGTACGAATTTGCACAAACAAAAATAGTAATTTGCTTAACATTCAAATACTTCATAATTTCTCGAGTTTTGATTCAACAAACTTGATTCAATTCACAACTAAACTCAGCCAAAAAACATACAAATGAAAATTAAAGTTAATTGCAAGAAAAAAACGAGCCAAAACATGGATGGAGGAATGCGTTTATGGCAAAAAAAAACAATTTCATGAATAGAGATGGAAAACTTGTGATTTCGATTGAAGGAGATGGTTAGATTGTTGGATTAGTGTCTAAGGCTGTAACTATATTTGGTAAGTACTTGACCCGGTTATGCATGGTCCTTTTGGGTTGCCTTCACCATAGCAACTTGACAGGATGATTTGTTAAGAGAGAAGAGATATTATTAATATATTATGAGAATAATATATATTTAAGGAATAATAATATTATTTGATTAATATAAGTCATATATTAATTGAGAATTAATTTGGTGACTTAAAGAGGTTAATTGAATAAATGGCATAAACTGTCAAATGTGTGATAGTTGTATTTTGGGCTATATATCCTTATGGATATTAGGGTGGACGAAATTTAGGGTTTGGGAACCTTAAATTCGTCCAAGCCTTGTATCTAGAAGGATCTTGGATTGCTTAGCCTAAGTCATTCAATTAGGGTTAAAGGAGAAACCCTAATAGCTCATAGTATAAATAGGACCCTTGGGGTGGAGAAATCGGCACTCTTGCAAGCCAAGGAACCCTAGGGCCGATTTCTATCCCTCCTCCCTCTCTCTCAAGATCATCTTCTTGCTAGTTGGTGTTTGTAAGCCATTAGAGGAGTGACAATTGTGACTCTAAGCTCCAAGAAGAAGAAGTATCAAGCAAGTAATTCAAGGTATTTTTCAGATCTGATTTCATATGACTAGATTCAATATATTACATTAGATCTAGTATTGCAAGTCTTGGATTCAATGCATGTTCAATTAGAGAAACCTAGATCCAAGCAATTAGGGTTTGCATGTGCACATAGGAAAGTTCTTATGGCTCAAACCCATCAGTGGTATCAGAGCTTTGATTGATTTCTATTGAATTGATGCATTGGTTGATTGCTTGTTGCTTGAAAAATTCGATTTTGTGATTCTGACTGCTGTACTCGGCGAGTTCCACTGTGGACTCGGCGAGTAGCTCCAACTCGGCGAGTCCATAGAGGTACTCGGCGAGTTCGAGCGTCAGAAGGAGGAAGTTTCGGGATTTCTTGCTGTTTTACTTGAGGATACTTGCCTTAACTGTTTTGGGTCATTAAAATCCGATTTTAATCATATATATGAGTATATTCTTGACCTAACAAAAGATAATTACCAATTAGTTGAATAATAATTTCCTTATATGATAATTGTTGATTATTTGAATTGAATTGGTAAATTGTTTTGCAAGTAACATTAAATAAGATCAAATTGAGATAATCTAATTAGATGATTTATATTATTTGCTATTTGATCCTTATGC